TATATATATATATATATTAGATAAATGTTTCTATAGCCAAACTTGAAAAGTATTGAAAAGTTCTTAAATATTTGTTTTGTGTTGATATCTTAATATAAAAATAACAGCATGCTAACATGCGACGTTCTGGATTAAATAAAATTATAATAAAAAACTACTAATAGATATAAATAATTCTTTTTGAAACATAGTATAATAATATTAAATTGTAAAATCATTTCTTAGAAACAAATTTCGTGAAAATAATTTTATCATTATTTCAAAATAAAAGCAAAATACAAATAGTTTAACAGCAGTTGTGAACGATTATTTAAAATATTAAAAACTTAATGACATACAACTAGTCACAAAAGAAGAAAATGAATTAAAAATTAAAATTTTAACTAAGTCATAACTCTATTTCATAATCATTAAGGCAATTTTTTTATATAATAAGCTATATAAAATTTCAAAAAACATACAAATTTTCAAAAAGTACATTGAAAATAAAATAAAAGTATGATCAAAACTAAGAGAATATGGTAAAATTTACTGTATTTCTGTCTCTATGAGAACACACAAAAGCGGGGTAATTTTTACCGAAACGCACTGGTAATAACTTTTGGTAAAATTAACAATAAAATATGATTTTAATACTATGCTCTTTGGTAGCAACTGTGGTAAAATGTGAAAATTTAATCATGATACTTTAGAGCATAGCATAAAAACAATTTATTTGGTTGAATTAACTTTTCAATTCTTTATTTTTACTAAATGCGTGGGAATAAGATCGATAATTGTGAAAATCAGAATTTTCGGTAAGCCGTTATCGTACGAACAGAAAAATTACTAAATCAATGATTTAATACCGAAAATTTTGGCTTTATTACCAGGATTGTAGTTTTATTTTTAACAAGAAGTGACTACCATTCTTTAAGTATGGTAATCTAACTATTTTTTTTTAATTCATTTTCAGATGAAATAGCTAAAACTGATAAATGATTTTCCACATTTTATTTATTTTTGCGTATGTCTATAAATTACTGGAAGGGTATATAAATAAGAAATAAGGTTTGAGATAAGGTTTGCTAAGTAAAACAAAATCACTTTTTAGAGAAGCATAACAATATTTTTATATACTTTATAAAATATAAAAATACGCCTTTTGTTTTAAAAATTAAAAAAAATTAACTTAAAAACTTAATAAGTTTCAATTCTTAAAATTTAATAATTAAAAATATCTAATAGTTTAATTTAATGTTACACGACTCATAAACAAAAATGTATAAACATTTATCTTTCATTATTTTGCAAAAATGATCAAATTAATGGCAAAATATCAAGAAATATATTCACATATAAAACTAAAAAATACTAAGTTTTTTATTGGTTTCATCGTTAAGTATTTAAGAATTAAATTTAAGAAATATGAAAAAATTAATTTAATTTTTTAGAATTTAAATTTCTCCCAAAATGTTTTGCATTAATCAATGCCTTAGATTTTTTTAATTATATTTATATTTTAAAAGCAAGTTATCATAATATTAAATTTATCGAAACTATTTGTTTTAACTAACTATTAATGAGTTAGTGATTTCTCATTACAATCCAAACTATCATGGCGTGACAAACATATCAAATGTTAAAACCAAAACTCAAAAACTAAAAATCAATCAGTTTTAAATAAAATAAATTTTTTCCGTGTCAAATATTTTCACACATTACACGATTTTTTTAAGCAAAATAAAAAAAGGTAGTCAAATCTACCAAGATAGCTTTTAAAATTTACAAAAATAAACTGAATGAAAATTTTAAAAAATTTTAAGTGACCAGTTCTTAGCGCATGAAAAAAAAGCGATCTTTTCGAAAACTGATTTCTGTTTCGCGCACTTGATTTTATAAACACTTCATACATAGGGATTTTTAATTTAAAATATAGGAATAAAAAAGGGAGAAAAAAGGGATATTTCTTTACCAGTTTCCCTAGAAAGTGAAAGTTGTTTCTTGAAAGTAGCAGTTGTCGATTCAGGGTCAATAGCCCAAAAGAACAGAATCAATTTAATAGTGGCTACCCGCATGCTCTTCCCATCGTAAGCCATTCGTTTTCTGTAGCGCAACTGGTGGCAAAGTGCACTCAAGTTCACTTTATCTTACAGTGCTGTAACAATTTCACGCCAAATCCAGCCAATGGCGGAACTCCATTTCACTAAAGTATAAGCAATCATTCATAATTTGTATCAACAGGTTAAATGAGAAATCCTTTTCCCTCTTATGAGAAAAAATTATCCCTCTTTAGAAGAACTTTTCTGTAAAGAAATTATAGTTCCCTAGAAATCAAAACGAAGCTAAGGTACCTCAATAGAGTATTCAAAGTTATATGCATAAATTTAAAAATAAATAAAATACTTGGTACTGTTCTTAAAAATTTAAAACTTTATTACTGATAACCGATATTATAAGAACTTTCAAAGAACTATTAAATCAGTTTTAGATATAAATATTTATATAGCATTCAATTATCATCTGTATCAATAAGTTAAATAAGATTTCATTTTCCCTTTTATGAAAAAAAATTATCCCTCTTCAGAAAAATTTTTCTGTAAACAAATTATGGTTCCCTAACAACCAAAACGAAACAAAAGTACCTAAATATAATATTTAAAGTTATATGTATAAATTTAAAAATGGAAAAAATATTTGATAACGTTCTTAAAAATTTATAACCGCGTACAGCTATTTTAAGAACTTTCAAAAAATTATTAGATCAATTGTAGATATAAATATTTATCGAGAATTCAATCATCATCTGTATCAACAGGTTAAATGAGAAATCGTTTTCCCTTTTTTTGAAAAACTTATCCCTTTTTAAAAGAACTTTTCCTTCTTTAAAGAAATTATAGTTCCCTAGCAATCCACAAACAAAAATACCTTAATATAGTATTTAGTTACAAGTTACTTGAATAAATTTAAAAAATGATAAAATACTTGGTAATGTTCTTAAAAATTCAAAATTTTATAACTGTTTACCAATATTATAAGAACTGTTTACCAAAATGTGAATGTTATCAATTTTTTTTTTTTAGAAAAATAATTAGCTTGATGAAAATTCAGTATGATATGGTTGAAAAGATAAAGCACAGCTTAATAAAGTAATAAAATGAGAATTTGAAAAATTGCGTTTTTTAAGCATACTGAAAAAGAGAAAGTAAATTTTTTTTGGAACCAAATTCGAAAAACTTAAGGCGCATCGTTTTCAAACGGTGTATTAACAGAAGTTCATAACGAACATGACGTATCTGTTATTTTCCTTTTAGGTCTATTAAATATTTTTTTTTCTCTTTTCTAGTCTACTAGGAAAAGGTAGTTTTAAATTCTTTTCTGTTTCATTTTATAATTTTATCTTTTTAGAATCGTGTCTGTTACTTGGTGTTTAGATTCTAGTTGACGAAAACTTTTATTGCACTATTTAGGAGCCAAAATTTAACTTGTATAGGCAGCAGACTTAGGACTCCGTGTGAAATTTAAATACTATAGTTTGTCGGAAAGTTGTCAAAATTTCAAACGGTGATATAGTCCCGTTGGCTATTGCATTATGGCATTGAATTCTACTTTTAGATTTATTCTGTTTTAATTCTGTTTTGTTAGAACTAATTTAAAATTCTGTTCATAGCAGTGAATAAACGATTGAAGCTTGTACTGTCATCATCATCACACACAAAGCTCTCGTTGGAATTTGAGCTCACTACTTAGTTGAAATTTCGATTGAAAATAAATTCCGCTTTTAATGAAATAAGAATGATTGAAACTGAAGATGAAGGAGGAAGACCGAATTATGCCCATGAGAGCTGATTCTGAGAAAAAATGAATCTGCGTAAAGGATAGGAAACGTTTTTCCTCATCTCGGCCCATCTGCACTGCTTAATAACTCTCAGGAAGAACCGATTTTCCACAGTACTGATTGATCAAAACTTAGTAATCCTCAAAATGGTGGTCAAATGGTAATATTATTTGTGTGAAAAATTAGTATAAATCGTTTTTCCTCTTTAATCTTCAACTATTGCCATTATTGCTATCAGGTATACCAGCAACCATATAAGTGTTCATCGTAATTTTGATTGACAACCTCACTGATGATTTAAAAAGAAAGTAGTAAAAATTTGCTTGTATAACTTAAAACGTAATGAAATTGTGTCACTTTAACTTAAAAGAAAATACAAAAATATCGAAACTTAGCAATCAACCGTTAACAACACATGAGCGTTGTTGAGTGATCTTATTTGATAATAGCTTCAGAAAAGTTACCGGAACATATTAAATGTACTTAGCTTTATATATAATTGTATTATAATACTTATAAGGTTAATACGTAGCCCTAATACATTATTTTTCTGCTAATTTACCATACCTTTTTTTTTCCGTAATTTTTAAATTTATATAGTATGCGAGGGAACAAAATTTGAAACGAGTTAAAAAAAAAAGCAGGAATTGTTGAAATAAATTTTTCTCTTAGAAAAATAAATTTCATAAAATTATAGTAAAAGTATAAGTATTTAAAAAAACAAAAAAATATATATTCATATATTAATTATAAAATAGATTTGTTGACATAAATGCATATATTTTTTAAAATATATTTCATTAAAATTATTTAAAATTATTTTAAAAAAGTTTTTAAAAATGTTATTAAATAATGAAATAATATTTAACAATATTAATAATCGAAAACTTAATGTTAATATTTGAACATTAAGAAATAACATCGAATGATTTGTTTTCTTGTATATTTTTTTTACAATGAAGGTAAATTTAGAAAAAAAATATTTGTCATATTCAAAATCTATTGTTTTCTTTACTTAAAATAATATTTGTTCCTTCATACGCAATGTTTGTGCTTATACACACAATTTTTAATATTACTATAGTACTAAAAGTTCAATTTCGAAATTTCAGGAAGGTTTCAATTTTATCTGCGCTCATTCCATTATAACTCTAAACGTTATCTAGTAGGAAAGGCAATTATTCTATAGAATAGCATCGTTCTAACTAAGCATGGAATTATAAAATACCACGATTACGTCATAATCGTTAATAAATATGATGAATTTAAGTGGTCAATTATTTTAGATTTCTATTCAATATAAAATATTTTTTACTACCTACTTTAATTATAATATTTTATCAGAAATTTGCAAACAAAATAGAAAATAATTATTTATTGTGATTTATTTACAAAACTTATTCTCATAACATTAAAAAAATTTAGTTCTTGTGACTAACAAAAAAAATTCTAATTTCGATACATTGATTGTTTTGAAAAAGAGTTGGCACAATGTAAAAAGTTCTGGATCAAATTACGGTAAAAGTACCGGTACTCAACGTGCCTGTACATTTTACCGTAAAATCCACTTTTACCGGTCATGTTACGGAACAAATAAGCTGATATACAGCTGTTATTATATTGATATTGATAATAGCTGATATTACTGTAAAAATTGCGATATAATATTTTGCAGAAAAAATGGATTTCAAAGTAAAATAGATATTACAACCTAAGTTCCGGTACATTATACCGTAATTTGATCCGGAATTTTCTTCAGTGCAGATGGAAAATGATTGGTTACAATAATAGATAATCGTGTTTAAAATAACAGTCATGTCTAGATATATTTTTTTGAAAATGCCTTTCATATAGTTTCTAGAACCATAGTAATTTTCCGGAACTATAACTTAAAAAGTGTTATATTTTCTAGAAACACTGAAATTTCTAAAACTATTTGTATTCTAAAGCTATTAAAGCTATAAGTAGTATAGCTTTAAAAATAACAAGAATGTGTTTAATAGTTTGCAGAATCCCTTTAATAGTTTCTAAAACATCTTTATTGGTTTCTAAAATATCGTTAATAATTTCGGAAACATTTTTTCTAAATATATGAAAAAAATGGAACGAAATAAAAATTAGAACATTTCATTCCAAATTCAAAGTAAATTGTTTTCAGGCAAACTAAATAATAATAATCATGCTATTCAATTTGTAAGACAAAAAAAGTTATTAGCTGTAAATTGTTGTGAGAATTGTTAATTAAAAATAAATTTAAAGTAATTGAATTGCAAGTAAATTGTTAATCATTGCCATCATCAATATAATTTGAATAAAGTTTGAAAAAGATGCCCAGAAATTTTGACTATTAAGTAGTATATGCAAGTTTTATTTGATAACAAGTGATTAATTGCAATAACAACGCACTCTATCAAACATAACTCATTGAAGTTGAAGAAAAAATGTATTTTGGTAAAGCAGTTACTAACTGAAGTATACTTTTATATAATAAAGCCTTGTCTGTTGAAGTAAAGGAAGGCACTTCTTAAAGGTATTTAAAGATCACTAATCACTATTTTAGCGAAAGAAAAATTGAAGTACAATTAAAATCTTTCTTTACTGTCAGTAACTTGAATAGATTGAATGGAGAAAAAATTTGAGTAAAATTACTATGCTGTATGGTAAAGACATTTCTGGTACAAAAAAAAAACATAATTTTAGTTAATTAAAACAAAATAGACAGTATTTAATCATACATGTGACAATTTCTTAGTTCATATGGTAATAGTTTACAGGAAGTTTTGGTTTTCAAAATTATAGTTCCTATTACAACACATTTTGTAAAAAATACAAAACTGAAAGTAAATTTAACCAAATAAATTGCTTTTATGCCATGCTCTAAGGCATCGCGATAAGACTGCCAAATTTTATCACACCTTATAAAAACCATATTTTATTGTTACTTTTAACAAAACCATTACCAAAGCGCATCGGGAGGAATTACCGAGCTTTTTAGTGTTCCCTTAGACTCTAAGGCCTATACACGATAAATTTTACAATTTCTGGTAGTTTCGACCATACTTTTTGTAACGGGGTATAATGCGCTAGTTTTTGCCAAGTATTATCTTATCAAATTACATGTTGCAAATTACTTACAAATTACACGATAATAAAAACTGAAATGGAGAAAATAAGCCTTATTAAGCAAAAATATAAAAAAAGCTTGCAGTCACACAATACCAGCAAATAAAAGTTATGACAAGATAGGTATTCAAAAAATATGAATATATGAAAG